TTTTATGCTGCTTGTGTTCTCAATACAGCAGAAAAGGGAAAATAACACACCTGCAGTGTCATAAATTTAGACTGTGTAAAAATGTAATTAGATTTCAGTCCACATTTATTTCCTCCTATAATTCATTTGGCTGTCATTCAAAAGAATGAGGCAAAAAAAGGGATTATTATCATCCAATATTTCATTCACCTTTGCAGAGATTTTTTTTTCCAGTGAGGCACTAAAAGTTGGGACTTAGTTTGAGAAGCGTCTGTCTCCTGAGTCTGCAGGCGGCCATGAAGACGTCTGCAAGTTGAACTCAGCCTTATTTTCCTCTATTGATGACAGTTGAGCTTTCGGTTGTACACTGTCAAGATAAAATGCCGCAATGCAACAGTCAAACAGCAGCGAGCGAGTGTGGCCTGAATGCACCTTTCACATCCCGTATGTATTTGTCATGTCAGATGAGGAGTTTTCATCTTTTCTCCTCAGACAGGAGCGTGAGTCAGTGAGGAGAGATCAGGGAGCGAGGAAGTGCTAAAATGATTACTTTCACCAGCTCCTCGCCTCTTTATCTCCGGAGAATTCAGACTCTGAAGCTCCTGACAGTCAGTTGGAAAGGACCAAAGAGGATCCATGAAATACTTACACTTGGAACCTCTTCAGCACCGGAGGATGCTGCGGAATCCCCAAAGAAAAAACATCACTGTCAAGCTCTCACTCCTCTGTTGTAAGAAAGACTTTTTAGAGACACACACACACAAAAAGAGGACTTTGCGTGGATGCAAATATGCCAGTGATGAGCCGGGATGCGTTTACAGCTCCTCTGATGCATGAAGATGTTATTTAGCATTAATTTCTGGAGTGCCAAGTGTGCCAAGATGAATCCTAACCCTGCTCCTCCCGCTTTGCCGATCAGGCTGCTTCAAATTCAGTGTGAGTGTGTTTTCTGGCCTGGGATGTTTCCACCAGCATTTGCCAGCAGTCATAGCACATGCTTCTTCAGGCTTTGAGGTTTTAGAAACTCATGAATATTGTAAAAGACCCATCTTTGAAGTCTCTTTTTATTCTGAATGAGACAGAGTAATAATGTTAAACTCTCTTTCCTTTGATTTTCACAAAAAATGTGTAATCAAGGGCAATTTGCAAAAATAGTGCTTGAGTATCTCTGGACTGATGATTGAAGGTGATGTGGAGATACAGAGAAACTGAAAACTTCTCTCTCTCTACTCAACAGGCCTGTAGCTTTATTCTTGTACCTGCCGCTGCCTGCAGTTATTTAGAGCCTCAGTTCAGTGGTCGCTTCGTGACCATTCGATCCCGTCAGTTGCTGACAGACGTTCAACAGATTTACAGACTTGGTAGGAAACTACAGACCATTAGTCGAACTAATGTCTTGTGTCCAAAAGTTTAAGACAGACCTAAAATTCAAAAACAATCACTTAAAAAGCAATTTTCACTTCCTTTCTGTTCCGTTGCTGCTTTTGTTTATGATGCTGCTCCTTCAGGCTTCAGAGGAGGTTGTTTAAATCAAGAAAGTTCTGTTCGGCTTAAACACCGAAGGGTCCGATAAGAGTCTGTATTTATCTCTGCTCTGTGAGGCCTACACCTACTCACACACTAAATTCTGTCATGATAATAATGAGTCATGTGATTACTATTTATCCTGAGGGGGGCATGACTGTCAAATCAAATGTTTTGGTGATCCATCTTATAGCTGATGAGACATTTCTGCCAAAACCACAAATATGAACCTCACAGAGATTCCACAGAAAAAATCTATACATACAAACATCATTACATATAAATGTAGAAATATATATATATATTATTATTATAGTGTTATTATTCAATATATGATATAATGTACAAATAAATAAATGAAGGAATACAGAAGTTGCATTTTTCATTATAAATTGAATTTGCATTTTATGGATTTTTTAATATTTGTTTGTTTGTTTTTTTCTTCCGTCAGTCACTTGTGTTTTATGTGGTAGCTGTTTGCAGTGTTACCCCTCATCCTCAGTGTTAACACTTGTACACATGGACCAAACTAAATAGTCATGTCAAGTAATTTCTTTCCCAAAGATATTTTCTTTTTATTTTCATTGGTTGTTGTCACTTGATGTTTGTCTTTGTGCTTAGTTTAATAAATGATTTGATGCCATGAAAAGGAGGTGTGACATCATGATTGACAGCTTAGACTTGACTCCCGATTGGGCAGACGGGGCCAAATCCCCTACACTGCACAGACTGGTTCCGAATGACATCACCAGCCCAAGATGGTAACCCACGAATCTGGGATATTTTGGCTTCATTTTTATACAGTGGGAGGAAGTGGAGACGTGTCGTCCAACCTTATTTACTGTCGATGTTTTACACCCACACTCTTACTCATAGAAACACAACAGGTGGCTCTGGTGTTCACGTGGCCCCGACTTCTTCACTTTCGACTCTATTCTGCAAAGTATGAATACATGTATAAAATAAATTCTGACCGACTGATTGCCCTTTGTAACCTCACTATGAACGAGCAAAGGCGAAAGTTTTCATCCGACACAATATTCAAACTAAGCTTGAGCTCTCATTAAAAACTGTTGAAAAATTCGCGCCTGCTTCTAAATCAACCATCTAATGACCTCACCTCTGCACATTTGCCTTAAAGTGGCCACTCAATGCACTTCACATCCATCAGTCGGTGGGTTGGATCAGACGTCGGAGCTGTGAGGCTGCTGAAACGTAGAGAGACGGACTGAATTGGTTTTGATTTGATTGAACTGACTGGTGGCTCTTTACTCCCCCGCTCTGCTGATAATTAAGTTAATCAACTCCTGAAAACTCAATGACGTCTTTGCCACATTATGGGGCTCGCAGCAGTGTTAAATTATATTTCATTCTTTGACGTTCAAAAGGAGAGTTTTCTCCTTTTTTTGTAAATCGGAGCAGAGGAGATTTAGAATGCATTATGTGTGGGTGGAGGTAAAGGATGAAGGTAAAGAAGAGGTAGGCTGGGGAAAATGGAGTGTGCCCGGAGGAGATAGACTGCAGAGAGTCCTGGTACGTGTGTTAGTGCATGAGTATGTGCGTGAGAGAGAAGATGTATAAGGTAACAATCACTGTGAATATTCCTGCTCTTCCTTTTCCACCCGGGAACTTGTAGAGACATATTTTTAGAACGCACCTATACATATTAGGTCTGTACGTTTGGACTGGAGCCACAAAACAGTCTCTTCTGCAAATGAGTCGCAAGAAGTTGGACCACAATAGAGAATTTCAATTAAAAGTACAAGTACTTCAAATTTGTACTTGAAAAGAATGTGTTTAGTAACAATCGACCACTGTGAGACTGCACAGAGTTCGTAATGTTTTGCTCATGCAGCCTCATCAGGTTAAATCGACCCCATTACAAACTGTTTCTTGTAACCAGTGTTGCAAATTCTGTTATTTTGCTGTTCTTGTTTAATCCTATCAGACTAATTGTGATTTGTAAATATGGGCTGTACAAATACAATTTGGTTGATTGATTGGTTGAAGTTCACACACTGACAAACAAGCAAACACAAAAAAACATCGCCAAATTTTGAGGCAGAAACAACCTGACAGATTTCCTGTTTCATCTTTGAGTGGATGTGTTAAATTCCTCTGTATTACTGTGAGGACACTTTCTGATCCGCCCCAGAGGCCTGTGGAATTATGGGAGCAAACAGTGCAGGCTGCAGGGGGCGTACTAAGCTTGTGAAGGACTTGTGATGTTTAGAGAGAAATCGCTTCAGGGCTCATTTGAGATTATCTGTCTGATTTATGTCTGAAAGCAAATGTGTTTGAAGTGTCCACTCAAATCCTCCTTCTGTCTTTGGTTTCTGATTGAAAGTAATGAAGCTGTCACTGGTGCATGACCGAGTACTTGTGAGTGAGTACTTCAGGTACAGTACTTCATTACAAGTCCTGCTTTCAAAGTCCTTCTGAAACTCAGATGCTTTATCTGAAAAGAGTTAAAATTAAAAGTGCTGGAAAAATATTTCCTGTCTAATGTTCATTATACATTATCATATTATTAATCAATGTGCATTAACATGTAAGCAGCAATTTAGTCAATTTTATTGAAGCTAATATTAACTAAGAAGTTTATTATACTTTAAAACCAATTCTCCTGCAAAAGGTCAGCAGATAAATCATGGAGGAAACAAAGAACAAAAAAAAGGTGAAACTGTAAGAACCTTGTGACTTTATGTGATGTGCTATTTTCAAACGTGGGAACCACAGCTCCTATACGTACGGTGAGATCTGTCAAATTCACACGTCTGAATCATAGCTGTCATATCACAGTTCCTCTCAGCAGCTGCAGCACACAATGGATCCCAGTGAAGGTTGACACAGAGATCAGGAGCATCACTAGTTGTGTCTCTGACTGATTCTCTCAAAATGAAACTTTTCAGTGTTTTATTTCCTTGATCTATAAATGAGTGAATATCTTGTGCATTTGTATTTGTTTTCAGCCTCCAGTGGATATGATGATATACCTCATATAAAACCTGTAATTATTTGCAGCAGTGGGGAGCAAACAGCAGCCATGTCTCCTGTAGGTAATGTAATGTAAATACGAGGCTCCGGTGGATTCCACCGAACATGACTTTATAACATTCTAATCAATGATTTGCATCTGAAACACAAACAGGCGTCAGTCACAGCAACACGACAGCAACACGATTTCATAACCGATGATTTCCATTGGAAGTCTCCTGGTTCAGCTCTAAACATACACGTTCCTGTGTGTTTCCTCTTTTTCTTCCTAAGTGTAAACATAAGCTGCTGATGAGAAGTTTTAAAATCATTTATTTTTAAAAATGAATAAAACAACCAGATACAGAAACAGTCCAGCGTCTACAAAACTGCACAGATGATTTAACATCTGATGTGCAACAACTCAGACTCTACGACACACTGATGCTCACTCTTCTGTTTTCTGCGTGCGACCTCTAACCTTTCCAGCTTTCTGAGCAGTGTCCGACTGTGTCTCCCAGCAGGCAGTGCTGCACGAGGACTAGGATGACTGGGAAGACCCAGACCAGCAACGTGACCAACAAGAATGACCCACGCTCCCTCAACTCCCGCGTCTTCATTGGCAACCTCAACACAGCTGTGGTGACCAAGGGCGACATCGAGGCCATCTTCGCCAAGTACGGGAAGATTGTGGGCTGCTCGGTGCACAAGGGCTACGCCTTCRTCCAGTACGCCAGCGAGAGGAACGCCAGGGTGGCCGTGGCCGGGGAGAACGCCAGGGTAATCGCCGGACAATCACTAGGTAATGTTAATCATATGGGCAACAGATAATGATTCATGTTTGGTTCAAGCTGTAGATCGAAAAACAGGAAACTACTCTGAACTTTCAGGGTAAAAGGGTCGAACAAGAGGAAGTAATTGTTATTTATATTCCATATATTTCTCCCACGCTCATATCAGTATTACCATTGTGTATTACCATTATGAAATGTGAACATAAAATAGTTTGATAGCTACAGCAACAGAGCTGAGAGTACGATATACTAGTTCCCTCATAAAAAATAGTTTTACCCCTAAAGTTATTTCTTAACGTTTCATCTTCTTTTTTCATCTTCACCCAGTAACTGTTTTACTGAAAACCTATGAATAATACATAATTACACAGACTGTATGCGTAGATAAATGAAACATTCGTGTTCGATCGAAAGGTTCAATATGATCATTCCAATAATAATACCTTTATCTGCAGTATTTTTCAAAACCTCATAATAAAACAGAAAGATACTGCATAAAAAACTCATACAGTTTACTGCAAAAGTAATAAAACTAAATAAGAAAGACATATAAAAGCAAAGCAGGAGGCATAAAACAGGGATCAATACTTATAATAAAAGTAAGACTATATAATATGAGGTGTAGGATTGTAAATATGACAGAGATACAGTCAGCAAGAACCTTTAAAACATGTTATTTCAAGTAAATGGGTGAACTATATCTTTTAATTAATAAAAACCTGAAGTTACCATCTGCTCCCACTGTTTATGGTCAAAAGTTCTGCAACAGATCTTGCCGGCGATCTTAAATTTGAACAGTAAAACCTTCGAATAATCCGGAGATGGAGCGGTGCAGCCGTTGTGCAGATGCTAAGATAGGGAATCCAGTTTTAGGAGTTAAACACGGCGAGGACACGAGGCGAGCTCAGGCATAAAGATAAGACTGAGAACACGAGCAGAAACTTGGACAACAGACAGACAGACTGCATCACGGAGGAAACATTCACAGCTCAGTCCTCATGGGCATTCAATGGATCCCTGTAAATCTTCCTTATATTACTTATTGATTAGTCCACAGCCCCCCTCCATGGAAAATAAAAGTCCTCCCCAAGCCCTGCTCTGTCATTAAATATGAATTAGAGCGCTGCAGGGTCAAATCTGAAATTCCACCCTGCGTTTGTTCGGTTTCATGCATTTCAGCTGTGAAATTACATGTGGCAGTGCTGAAACTGTGAGGAGGACTTCAGTTCACAGGGATTCGATGTAGAATTAATCGACAGGTATTGTTTTGTTATTGTAGAAGAGTAAGACCAGTGCTCTAAATCTTAAGTGAAAGATTTAGAGTCACCCAGGACTTAGAGGAATACTTTTGTGAAATAAATTTGCTTATGCAAGAAATTAGAGAAAATCTTGGTGCGGAGGATTTGATTTCATTAATTAGGCAGAAAGACTGGACGTTTCTTTACAAATTATCCGACTAGCTGCAGTACACAACTCCCTTTTGCTAAGTTAACTATCTGCTGACTGTGGTTTCTTATTTCATGTATAGAGAAGAGTCTGTTTTTATGTCTTTTATTTCCAAATGTCATTCTGTAGAAATTGTTATAATGGAAACCTCAGTGGCTGGAGTTCAAGGCCTTTTGTGTAACCATGGAAAAAAGCTTTTTGATGTGAAGGCCGTCAATTCATGGAAGAAACTGCTAATAAGTAAAATTAGACTAATTTGAGATCACAGTGACCTTTGACCTTCGACCATCCAAATCTAATCAGTTAATCTGTGAGTGTAAATTCACATTTGTGCAGAATTTGAGAAGTTCTCCAGATATCTTGTTCACAAACAAGAGACGGACGGACAACTTGAAAACATAAAGCTTCTGGCTGTGGATAGCGTTGAGGTTTGAAATTTGCACACCACAGAAATATTCACCCTGTCGTCAACACATATTGACGTGTCCTGTCTGTTTTGTCCTGTCTGCATCATTGCTCCCACTTACTGCTCCTCTCATTGACATGTACACTGACAAACCACAACAGTTACATTACCTCAGAAACACAACAGCTACACTGCGCTGTTTCCCAGGAGACAGAAAGTTCTATTCATGGCGTCGAGCTAAGGAGATCTCAGCGAAACAACAAACGCAGCCAAAGCTAAAAATCGTGCAGACCACAACTCCGTGCAACAGCCGATGTGGGATATTCCTTTGCACAGATATGTGATAATGTAGCTTCGCCGTCCTCATGATGTTGCTGTAAACACAGAGTGTCTGCGGACACACAAGAAAACACAATGCATACAGTACATTAACAATGTACCTGAAGTGTCAGAGGTAAACCTACAGGCCCACAGTGAGGTTTCTGCTTTAGAAATGATCTTTTCTGCTTTTATTCAGCTGCCACAGGGAAATTTAACCCCTGACATCTTATCTTTTAAACATGAACCTCATATTTGATTAAACTCTGGGAACTCTATTGCCAGAGGTGCGAGCGGTCGGCACGAGATGTGAATTCTTGATATTTTCTTCAACACATTCTTTCTTTATTAAATTACACACCGTGTGGAGTGACATGAGGGACGATTGTGCAGAGGTAAGACAGGCGACAGGGGGGGTCACAAGGTCAGAATCGATCCAGTGATGTACCCGAGCACACGATGAGCTGCTGGAGTGTCCCACACTTGAAAAGCTTAATCGCTCTATTTATTTAGTTAATTTAAATAAAAAATGACGTTCCCTGGTGTTTGGCCTGAGACGGCAGCTATTTAGATCCTGATGAAGACGTCTGCTGGTGATGAAGAGCGAAGGAGAAGGTTTAATTCCAGTTTCACCAGTAAAGCATTTCCCCTCATACGTGCTGATTGAAATATTGGACATAGATGTATTGATGCTTTAAGGTTCATTCTTTAAATCAGCGTTTAGTTTGATGTGCTTTGTTTTCGTCATCACTTTATTTGTGTTGGAGTTTTCATGTGCTCTCTGGTTTGGTCTTTGAGCGCCTCACTGTGGCTGAAATAGTTACTGCAGAACATTTTATTAAGTCAACGGTTTAATTAGGTCTTTAAGCTGATTTACACTTTGTTTGAGTTTGGGACTGTTGTTTTTGGGAAACGTTTCTGTATTTTATCTGACAGTTTGTAATTTATTAATTGTTTTGCAGGTCTATTTGTCAAAACTGAAATCTATAAATCACCAAACAAAGCAATTTCATAGAGTTTGCTTTAACTTCTCCTTATCTTATCTTACCTTACCTTACCTTACCTTATCTTATCTTATCTTATCT